TCCAGAGCTCTTGGCAGAAGATCCTGAACTATTGGTGGTTGATTCCCTCTCACAGCAGCCTGGCTAGTGAGTGTCTCCCTGAAAGCTGGGGAGTGGCATGAACAAGTGGCTGCCAAGAGCTGCTGTCCCCAGCCGACTCAGAGCCAGACGCCTCATCCTGCAGGGAGTTTGCTGTGAGGCCAAGGTGACTGGTCCTGGTCTCTGACCCCAGTCTGTCCTTCCACAAGATCCAGCCTCCCTTGGCAAGCCTGGAAGCCAGCCAAGGTGGTGTTCAGCATCTGACAGACAACCTTGGGCTGCTTCAACCAGCTGGAGCTGATGGCAGCCAACGTGCCCAGGGGGGGGTCCTGTGAAGCTGCTCCTCTCCCCTGAAGGCAGATATCCAAACTCACAGGCGTGACCATGCTAAACCAGACCACTGAACTGCCACAGCCCATCCATCCACCTGCTGCTGAGCATCTCACACAGCCACAGCCTGCACTCAGCTGCCCAGCCTCCAGAGTCTCCCAGCCAGCACGTCTGGCAGCCTCCAAATATTGGAGTCCCCTTGGACCTGAAGCCAAGTCAGTTGTTTGGGCACCCTGGGGGTCAGCCAGACAATCAGTCCTGGCATGTAGGAGTTCTCCTGGCCAGCCTCGTGGGGCAGATGAGACTGAGGAGCTCTGCAGAGCCAGCCACGCTCGTGGGGTAAAGCAGGGCTTGAACCAGAGCTCCATCCTTGGGAAAGGCTCCTGGCAGTGCTCCTGAAACCAGGCTTGGGAAGGGCCAGTCCTTCAGGGGATGGCAGGTGTGCCACAGGCTGGAGAGAGGCCAGGAGAGGCTGAGGGAGCTGGTGTGGAGAAGAGAAGGGTGAGGGATGTAAATCAGTGCCTGGGATGATGAGATGCTGGAAGCAGAGAGAGGATGGGGAGGTGCAGAACAGGGATGAAGTGGTGAAGCTTCAGCAAGGGAAGTGCTTGATGGGAACAAGGCAAAGCAGGTGCAACCCAGGAGAGGGACCCAGGCCAGCTGCAGGGTCTGCCCACTCCAAATGGTCCCCAGTTACCCCTCCAGCCTCTGCTCTGTGATTGGGGGGAGCTACACTCCAGGTGGGATCTGCCCATCCCTTATAAACTGGTCTTGCTTCTTTGGGGCTCCTGACTCTGCTCCAGCCCCACAGGCACTCAGGTGACCCAAATTCCTCTGCCTGCCTTCCTGCCAGGGCTGGGGTGGGGGAAATGCTTATAAATCCCCCACTCTGGAGTGGTCAGAGGGGTGAGGCAGCACTCCTGGCTCATCTGCAGCCTCTTCTCCTAAAATTTCTTTCCCACGTGGCATCTTCAGGGCTACAAGTGATTAAGTCCCCCTTTTAAGCATGTTCCAGCCATGTTCTGGATGCCTTTAAGCCCCTGAGGTGTTACACATGGCTTACAAGTTGGGCTCCATTAGCACTTGGTTTGCTGTTCATTAAAGCCTCGATTAATCTTGTATTAATGCTTTTCAAACACAACTTTTCTGGAGGTGTAGCAGCCTCTGAGGTGAGGAGCTTAACTTCTCCCCAGCCTGGTGTCAGCGATGGCAGGGAGGATTTAGCTCTGGATCTCGTCAGACTGAGAGCTGAGTGGTTGGGAGGCTGCGGAGAGCGAGAGCCACCCGTGAGGATGCTCTGATTAGTGAGGGATGACACCACCCCAGAGACACCTGTGGCTCTGCTGCTCCCAAGTCTGGGGTGACTGGGGGAGTAGGACCCACGATCTGGGAGCCACTGCCCACGCTGCCACCCCTGGGGAGAACGGGAGAGGTTTGGGGGCAGCCTGGGGGTGTTGCAGCTGGCAGAGGGAAGCTCTGCTAGCCAGGATCCTGCAAAGCTGGAGCAGGTAGAGGGTTTTGGAATGGGAAGACACTCACCTGAAGAGCAGAACCCTTTCCTGCCCCTGCCCTGGCAGCCCTGTGCGGTGTGAAAGAAGGGCAGGATCAGGAGGAGCGTGGTCAGTGGGAATAGCACCTCGTGCTCCTCTGGGGGCTTGGGGTGCTGGCCTGGGCACCCTGAGCGGGCACAGCAAGGGTGCTGCCTGTGCCACAGACCCATGTCTGGGCGAGGCAGGGGTGGGATGGAGGAGATCTCCCATCCCTGCCAGGCTGGGATGCTGCTGTTGTCATGGCAACGTGGGAGACCTGCGAGCTGGAGCCCAAACCCACCCCTTTGGGTGGAGGGGGAGTGTGCAGGGCTGGGGGTGCTCTCCATCCCCTCCCTCGAGCCCTGGCATCTCCCCACACCCCAGAACTGCCATCAACCCCCTCCTCCCAAGAGCTGACACACCCACCTGTCTTTCAGCTAAAAGACCCCGGGGAAAACACTGGGTTTTCCACGGGGATAAAACACCTTTGGATGCAGAACTGTGTCCAAAGCCGTTGCAGGGAGCACGAAGCCAGTTCAGAGATGCCAGCAGCCTCCTGCTTTCCTCTCCCTGTGCCCTGATCCCTCTGGCTGGCTGAGGCTGGAGCAAAGGCACTTAACACCTGGCAGGGTTTGGCCCAGAGCTGTTCCCTGGGGGATGCTCACAGGGCTCTTTCCACCGAGCAGGGATGTACCTGGGAGCTGGCTGTGATGGAATGGGGCTGGAGATGCAGCCAGCTCTGCTCTCCCTCTTCCCAAAAGTGGCTGGATTGTCACACAAGGTCACCTCTCCCTTCTTCCACCAGCTGTGGCCCTGCTGAGATGTCTCACGTGGCACAGGCTGGATTTTTCTCCACCTCGGGACAGCTTTTGCTGTCTGGCTCCAGCAGCTCCTCCCCGCTGGGGCCCTTGGCAGCTGCCAGGCTCTGACTGACATCTGTCCATCATTTCCAGCAGCTGGAATCACGGACGGCAGAGGGGCCCTGAGGGAAGGACAGGCAGGGATGAGCCTGGGCTGCATCCCCTCCGTGGGCATTCTGCTGCCACCAGAAAGGGATCGGGATGCCCTCGTGCCTCCTCCCCCACCTCCTGTCCCTGCAGCCTTCCCGCTCAGCCCTGTGCTCGGTTCCGCTGGGGTGCCGGGTGGCACATGAGTCACATTTCCTCCCAACGCCCATTCCAGCTTGGTGCTGCCACTATTTTTGGAAATTCTTGGAAGCGGATCAGCCCTGAGAAGCGCATTTCATGGATCCTCCTCACGCCAGGCTTACGTCCCCCCCATGTCCCTGTGCCAGGCTAGGGAAGCCCCCGTCAGCCCAGAGCCTGCGCTCCCCTCCCGGTTTGGGAAGCGTGGGAACTCACTTCTCATCCCACAGCCCCTCCTGAGTCAGTGGGGAGCTGGAGCACTGTCTTCGTGGCAAAACATTACCTTTTAAAGGACCTGCTTGGGATTGGGGTGGGACTTATTGCAGTGCCAGCTCGGCATGGATCATTGTGCTCCCGACGAGCGGATCATTCACAGTTATTTTTACTCTCAACCCCGGGTGTTTTAGCTGGGGCTGCAGTGCCTCACTTGATGTCTCTGAGCAAAACCGGGCACAATCCAGCGCTGGAATCAAAGGGTGGATGAAATCACAGGAAGGTTCAGCAGCTGAGTGTCACAGCCAGGCCTTTCCAGCTCGGAAGGGACCTGGTTTTAGGGGTGCACCCACACCCCTCCACACCATCCACCCTGCACCTCCTCCCTCCGGTCCTGCGGAATCTGTACAAATCCAGGAGTTATCTTCCTTTCAGAGCAGTGATTGTGCTGCTCATCCTTTGCTTGGGCGCTGCCCGAGGTCAGTGGTCATGGCCCCTGGGATGTCCAATTGCCTTCCTGGCCAAAGCTGGGAGCAAACTCAGAGGTAATGCAGGGATGTGCTGGCTTTGTTGTAAACTTCAGACACGTTTTTTGGGTCTGAAGCTTTCACCTGGAGACAAGCAGCTCCGGCCCTCCTGGCGCTGCCAGGCTCAGCATCCCGACCTTGCCGGGATAAAATTAGCCATTTCAGTTTGAATTAAAGGCAGCTCCGCTGGAGCCGCGTGAGGTTCGGCTCGGGGACGTCAAATGGCAGCGTTCCCTTTTTTGTCTGCATCGGGGAGGGGAGGGTCCTGCCAGCCAGTGCCTGGTGACAATGACATTGATTTCCTAGACCTCTTGTCGTGGCCAAATCTGTATTTTTAGCTGGTGAAGAGAGAAATATAAATCACGTGTCGAAGCAACGCTTTCCCTGCCCCTGATGGGAGGGAAGGAGACAAGAGCCGTCGCTGCTGGAGCTGTGGATGAGCGGGGCTCGGCTCCCTGTCCCTGGAGCGGGGCTGGGAACACACCAGGAGCTGCATCTTCCCGGGGTCCATCGCAGGCGCTGCTCCCAGCTGTGCTCCACACGGCCCCTGCTCTGGGCTGGGGACCCTGAGCCTCCCCTATGGGGGTCCTATGGCAGGGAGCAGTGAGACCCCCACTCCCAAGGGATCCCGCCCATCCCCTCGGCATCCCCCGTGACTATTTATCTTCCGGGGCAGGCGCTGCCTTCATCTCCTCTTCCCTGCCACCTCCTCCTCGTCCTCCTCCTCCTCCTCCTCGCTCTCCCCCATCCTGTTCTCATTTCCCCAAGAAGGCTTTAATGAAATCTGCCCTTAATTAAATCCACATTCATTTGCATAATTACCAGGAAATTGAAATTAGCCTGTGGACGTGGCTGGAATACATTTGGCATCAGGCAGCCCTGGCTGCTCGGAGGGGGCTGCACCAAGGGCAGCTCGGTGCCCCCACCCATGGGTGCTGCCACCCTGCCCCACGGTGCCGCTGCCCGTGCTCCTTCCCTCCCACCCAGGGGTGGCCACGATGGCCGGGCATGGAGGGGACCTGGTGAAAGTGGGGGGATAGCGAGCCCCCAGGCAGAGGGTGTGCTCCCCGCCCACACAAGCAGCATCTCTTTTGCTTCATTTAACGAAAAAGTCTTCACCGCCATTGAGAATTTTTTTGTTGCTTTTATAACTATGTATTTTGTCGGTTTTTTATGGTTTCAGTTGTGTGTTTTTGTTTTTGTTTTGTTTTTTTTTGTTTTGTTTTGTTTTTTTTTTAAATCCTTTTCAACAGTGACAAACTGAGGTAACGTCTGTGACACTACAGCCTCTCCTACGGGAAGAAGGACTGAAACCCGACAGCTGAGGGAACTGGAAATAAAAACCCGACAACCTACCGACACAGCGACCTCGACGGGGACAGAAATCACACGGGGCACCCCCCCCGGGACGGACCCCCGAGAGGCGCCGCCGAGCCCTCCCGGGGCAGCCGGGATCCCTTATCTACATTATTGCACGAAAGATTGAGGACATCGAGGGACCTAAGGCAAAAAGGAGAAAAAACCGGTGCCTAGAGCGTCTCTACTTAGGGGCAATGCTACTTCTAAGGCCGCCCGGGGCCCGGCACCGCGGGCGGGGGGCGGAGGGGCCCGGGGGGCAGCAGCGGGGGCGGGGGGTCCGCCCGTGCTCTGTAAACTGCTGCTGCTGCTGCTGCTGCTGAATAGCGGGATAGCCCTTTGTGCGGGAATTGCGGCGCCGGGGGGCACAGAGGGTCCCCACAGCGCCCACCCGATGGGAGGGAAGCCCAAACTACACCAGAGTGCTGCCACCTTGGGGTGCCCCTCACCCTCTCCAGGTGAGCCCCCCAACTTCACTGGGTGCCCAAAACCACAAGGGGATTGGTGTCCCCCACACCCCCCCCCAGGACCTTGTCACTAAGGGACCACCAGCAGCTCCTGCCACCACCCCCTGCTTCGCTGCAGCCAGCCCGGGGGATCCATCCCACCCCTCCTCCCCGCCAGCCCCAGGGGACAGTGACAGAGGTTGGGGAAGGGGTGACAGCAAGAAGGGGTGATGGGATGAGCACAGGGAACCAGGCTGGCCCTCTGGAGGACGCTGAGAGCCCCCTCCCCTGCTCCTGGGGTGTGCAGGCCAGCCTGGGGCTGCACCGCTGCCACCTCTTCCAGTCCCTGGGGACAGAGACTCTGCAGAGGGGACAAAGAGATGCCACTACAGCAATGCCAGCTTGGCCCTGAGCATCCAACCTGCTGGATGGCACCGTGGCCACGGGCCACAGCCCGGAGCACAGCTCCCAGCCGGAGGGACCTGTCCCTCCAGTGGGGTCTGGGGCCATGTGGGGCAGGGCAGGGGCGACAGAGGCTGCCAGTGGCAGTGGTGGGACACACAATGACACACAGACAGGGACACTTGCTACATCGATGGCTGCCAGCACCTCCCAGCACAGGGAGGCAGCCGGGGTTGCCAGGGGTCCTGGGCTGCCTGAAACCCCCCCAGCTCCCCATCACCAGCCCGGTGCCCATCTCCTCATCCCTTCCCCGGTCCCCACCAGTGGGGCAGGGATTGGTGGAAGGGGACAAATCATCACCCACCCAAACCTCCCCAAAGGCCTCCTCCATGGTGTGGGGTCATCGGCCTTCCCAATCCCAGTCCGGGGATCAAAGCACAGGGTGGGGGAGGGCCAGTGGGCACTGCTTGCCTTGGATCTTCCATCCACTGCCCTCCCGACTCTTCCTCCCCGTACTGGGAGACCTCTCCCCGTGCCACCCTGTGGGAAGCCTTGGAGGGGCAGCATGGCCATGGCAGGACCGTGGGCACCCCTGTCCTCCCCGGTGCCCTGGGCTGGGCCTCTGCTGCCGGCCTCACCCAGGCGGGACGGGGGGGATTGGCATCCTCGGCGCTACGGAGCGCAACCAGTTCTGTCCTTTTCCTCTTTGATTGTGTTTCTTTTCCTTTTTGTTTTTTTTTTTGCTTTGGGAGACCCAGAGCCCGGTCCCGGCTCGTGCCTCCAGCACGAGCAACTCCTCCCACCCCTGTTGGCGGGGCAGGGGGACAGGACGGGTCGTGCGGTGCTGTCAGACGCAGATCTCTATTGCTGTGGCCAGGACCATCTGCCCTTTGCCTTTGTCCTGCCGTCCATCTGTCCTGCTCGCCGTGCCCGGGGCGGCCGCGCCGGACTCGGGGCCGCGCGCTCCGCTCCCTTCCGTCAGGACGGTCCTCTTGAGCGGGGCGGGGGTGCAGGAGCCGGCGGCCTCGTGGCAGTGGGCGCCGGCCGGGAGCTTGTCCCTGGTGTGCTTGCGGGAGCGGTAGGAGGGCCGGCACCGCACCTCGGCCATCAGGTCGCACTTGATGAAGTAGAAAACCTCCTTGACGGGGCAGCGCTTCTCGGGGTCGAGGGCCAGCAGGCGCTGGAACATGCGCAGGGCGCTGTCCGTGAAGCGCCGCCACTGCGAGGGCAGCCCCCCCAGCCGCCCCTTCTGCCACCGCACAAACTCCTCGAAGAAGGCGTCGGACGCCACCGCCGCCTCCCAGGGGAAGTTCCCGGTGAGGACGCAGAAGATGAGCACCCCGAAAGCCCAGACGTCGATGCTGGTGTCCACGGCAAAGCCCTCGGCCCGGCCGGCCTGGCACACCTCGGGCGCCGTGTAGGGGATGGTGCCGCTGATGCGCTTGACCCGGCAGCCCACCTTGCGGGTCATGCCGAAGTCGGCCAGTTTGACGCGGCGGCAGTCGCGGTCGAAGAGCAGGACGTTCTCCGGCTTGATGTCCCGGTGCACCAGGCTCTTGCTGTGCATGTAGTCGAGGGCCAGGCCCAGCTGCTGCACACAGCGCTTCACCAGCTCCTCGGGGAGCCCCACCTGTGCAGACACGGTGTCAGCCACCCGCCACCGAGCCCTGGGGTGTTCCCAGCCGGCTCGGGGACCCCACACACATCTGTTACCCACCCAGCGTGGTCGTGGATGGCTTTATCTGGGGGCTTTGTGAGGCAGGGAGATGGGTGGTGGGTCCTGGGCCAGCTGAGGGGTGGGTGGTGACTCCCCATAGAATCCCAGGGTGGTTTGGCCTGTAAGGGACCTTAAAGACCATCTTGTTTCACCCCTTGCCATGAGCAGGGACACCTTCCACTAGACCAGGTTGCTCCAAGCCCCACCCAACCTGCCTTGAACACTTCCAAGGTTCAGGCAGCCACAACTTACCCAAGGGAAGGGTGATGGGTCCCAGGCCACCCTAGGGATAGGTAATGGGCCTTAGGCCATCCTAGCGATGGATGATGGATCTCAGACCACCCAGGGGATGGGTGATAAGTCCCAGGCCACCCTACAGATGCATTACAAGGCCTGGATCACCCTAGGGATGGGTGAGGGGTCCCAGGTCACCCTAAGGATGGATGATGGATCTCAGACCACCCAGGGGACGGGTGATCAGTCCCAGACTCGACTGTAGGTACTCATGTTCAGGAACCATACAGGGCTGCCCAGTCGTGGCCCCTGCAGCCCCTCCCACACGGGCAGCAAAGCACCACGGCAGCTCTGCTCAGTGCCCTGGGGACATGGAGCCCCCACACCCCAACAGGGCCCCGTGGAAGGGGCGGGGGCTCTCACCTGTGGCGGGATGATGTCGAAGAGGTCCCCGCCGGGGGCGTACTCCTGAGCGAAGACGTAGCAGTCCTCGGTCTCGAAGACCACGTCGAAGACCTTGATGATGAAGGGGCTGGAAGAGAGCGTGTTGGTGATGCTGAACTCCCGCAGGAAGTTCTTCAGCTTCGTCTTGCTCTTGTTGACGAACTTCAGGGCCATCTTGGTGCCTGTGGAGGGCAGGGGACGGAGGTGAGCCCAGGGCACGGTTGGGATGTGCCAGGCCCTCTGCTCCCAGCGCAGCCCCCCCCGCTCCGCTCACCTGTGCTTTTGTGGGACACCAGGTCCACCTTGCCGTAGGTGCCCTTGCCGAGCTCGCGGATGAGGTCGTAGTGCTTGCTGATGTCGGTGCCTGAGAGGGTGCGGATGGCCAGGGACTGCATGTCCTCGGTGATGAGGGGCACCCCGCAGCAGGCCAGCTTGCGCGACGACTCCTGCTCAATCGAACCCGCGCTCATGGTTGCGCTGCAAGGCAGAGCAGGGGCAGCGTTTCGGTGGGTGCTGCAAAGCCACCGTGTCCCATCCCATCCCATCCCATCCCATCCCATCCCATCCCATCCCATCCCATCCCATCCCATCCCATCCCATCCCAGGGCTGGAGCACTCCCTCACTGAGTGCCACCCCTCTGTGCCCTGTGACCACCAACCAAATTGCTGTGGACAGGATTGCTCCAGGCTCCGTGGGGCTGCAGCCGTGTGGGTCAGTGGTCCCTGTGCCACCAACTCAGGGGGATGTCTGGGGGCAAAGGGAGGGCTCAGGGCACGGCAGAGACAGGAGGGCAGGGACAGGGACACACACAGGGACACACACACGTTTCCTCAGCCCCGGTATGTTCACAGCCACCACACAGGATGGGTGTTGAGGTCTTTAGGGGCTCCCCACTGGTGCCACAGTCCTCAGTGGGGACCCTGGCAGCCAGCCCTGTCCCCTCCACCACTGCAGCCCCCTCCAGAGCCGAGCCCCACACAAGCCAGTGATGCTCCACAGCAGAGCCAGGGCCATGCTGCAGGTACCAAGTGGGATATGATGGCTCTGCCAGAAATCTCTCTGACTATCCATCAGCACTGACTCTTGGCCTTCCCCTGCCAAGGTGATGGATGCTCTGGTTCAGAGAATCACAGCATCCCAGACTGGTTTCAGCTTGAAGGAACTTTGAAGCTCAACTCTTTCCACTCCCTGCCATGGGCAGGGACACCTTCCACCAGCCCAGGTTGCTCCAAGCCCCGTCCAGCCTGGCCTTGGACACTTCCAGGGATCCAGGGGCAGCCACAGCTTCTCTGGGCAACCTGTGCCAGGGCCTTCCCACCCTCACAGCCAACAATTCCTTCCCCATATCCCATCTAACCCTTCCCTATGGCAGTGGGAAGCCATTCCCCCTTGTCCTGTGAGTCCAGGCCCTTGTCCAAAGTCTCTCTCCAGCTCTCTTGGAGCCCCTTCAGGCACTGGAAGGGACTCTGAGGTCTCCTTGGAGTCTTCTCTAGGCTTTATAATCCAAATTCTCTCAGCTTTTCCTCATAGCAGAGGTGCTCTGTCCCAATAATCATCTTTGTGGCCTCCTCTGGACTTGCTCTAACAGATCCCCATCTTTCCTGTGCTGTGGGCCCCACAGCTGGGCACAGCTCTCCAGTTGGGGCCTCACCAAAGCAGAGCAAGGGGTGGGTGGCCCAGCCAGCAGTATGTGGACAACAGCACCAACATTCTTCACTCCCATCAAACCAGGGATTGTTTTTCCTCACTCTGACCATCCCCACAACAAGAGCTGGGCTTGGAGTCACTCACCACACCGTCTTCAGGGTGCTGCGTCATCTTCCATCACCCCCCAGGGTCAAGACCACACCCAACCCTTTCCCAACAAGACTGAGCCTGATCTCCAACTTCTTCCTCCTTCCTTCCCTGCACCGTGCTGCCTCTCATCCCAAAGCAAAGCTCAGCTTCTTCACTTATTATAGTTATATTTTTTTTTCCCTGGGAAGTTGGGGAAAAAATAGAAAAGGAACTTCAACATCATGATGTTCCAAAAATGTAACAGTTTGACTCATAAGATCTCCAAAGCAGCTCATCTCCATAGTGTTTCATTGGCCTCCTGGCAGAGGAGCACCATCTCAGTGTCTGGGTGCTGGAGGTGGAGGTGGATCAGTGCAGCAGCTTGCTGGAGGCAGGGCTGAAAACAGCCCCCAGCATCCTGCAAGAAGAATTCCGTCTACACTTGGATTTACAATCACGCTCATCGATGTCTCTTAATTAACCGGCGTTGAAATGCAATTATTCGAGTCAGCAAAGCTGGGCTTTGAGGAAAAAACCTGTTGGTTGGATGGGAGGGACTGATGCGTTATGGAAATGCTTTCCAAGTCAAAGGCCGTTCGCTTTTCCTCTTGGCTCAACCTGCTGGGGTTTCCAAGTGTCTCTGGCCATCCACCAAGGAACATCCACGAGAAACAGAGATCCCACCACGCCAGGTGTCCCTGCTGTGATGTGGGTCTGCACAGCTGGCACGGGGTGTGCTTCCAGGGCTGGGGACGCTGCCGCAGTGCCGGCTCCACTCAACACACCCCGCTCTGCCGGGGCTGCCGGGAACACGGAGCCATCAGCGATCCCGGGAGAGACCGAACAGCAGCGGTGACCAAAATACCAATGTGCTGAGACCAGGGAAAGCGTAAACACAGGAGTTTTCATTAAAAATTGAAATGCTTTTGAAAACATGTTGGGTTTGATGTGAGCAGCGAAGCGGGGCAGCAGCGGGTGGGAGCGAGGGCTCATTTCCAGCTCTGCACGCTCCCAGGGACAGCCGGGATGGGGGAACAGCGGGACACAGGGAGATGATGGGGCAAACTGTGGCAAGAGATCCCACCAGCTGGCACAGCTGGGGTTGAGGTCTCGTATCTTTGGCTGCCCTCTGCACCCAGGCCAGGCCCACCAACGTGCCAGATGGGGTCACCAGAGCCAAAATGGGGCCTTTTCTTGGCACACCAGCTCCTCTCCTGCCCCGAAACGCTGGAACAGCACCATGCCCAAAGGAAGCCAAAGCTGCCTCCTCCCAGCTCAGTTGTTTCGGATGTTCCTCAAGCAGCTTTCCCAAGAAGGGAGTAAGGATGCACATCCCAGCTGAGTCCTGGCAAAGGCCCCCACCGCTCTAGATCCAGGGAATGGCAAAGGGGCAGCAAAGCTGCTGCCACGTGGCACCGGGACCCGCCGCTCACCGCAGGCGGTTCCTGCCGTCATCTCCGCATCCTGAACCGTTTCTCCTACTATTCAGACTAAAATTGTTCTGTGTTTAAGCTTCAGAACCGTTTATCTCATTGAGTGAGGAGGATAATCCACCCACTTCTTCCTTGCTCCCTGGCAGGTATTTATAGGCAGCCACTCGTCTCCGTCGGCAGCTGCTGCTCCTCTTCCCAAACCTCCCGGCTCTATCCCCAACATCACGGAGCGGATCCCGGGAAGACATAATCCCACATCCAGAGCCCAGCATCCTGCCAGGTACTGAGGCCAGCACTAACAAACCATTCCCCCTCTGATGCCACTCCTTGGAAGGGGATGCTTTGCCCTGCTTTGCATCCTGCTCCACATCCCACACCACTGCACACCCAGCCCTGGGCACATCAGCTCTGCTGATAACTAATTGCAAACTCATTAAGAGCTCGTTGAGAGGAGCAGAGGACGCCCGGGAGAGCTGCCCCAGGCTCCCACAGAGGAGGCTGCTAGAGCAGCAGCTGCTTGGAAATTAAGAGGGAAAGGGGGAAAAATAAAACCCCTCTGGCAGCAGCGGAGACTGACAGAAAAACAACCCATTTATTGAGGGAGGTTAGAGGAAAAGGGTTAGGGCTGAGCTCAGTGCAGGGCTGGAATGGGGGGTGGTCAGGGGATGGGACTTGCAACATGGGCTGCTCTGGGAAAAGGAATTGGGAAAACAAAGGGAAAACCTATGAGGGGCAGGGCCTTGGCAAGACCCCAATTTCTCTTTAAAGAGGGGAGAAATGAGAAACACGCAGCAGTGGGATGGGCACAGGCCCACACTGCTCTGTCCCTGCACTTGGCAGGTACTTGGCAGAGCTTTGATTTCTCTCTTTGCCATCCCCAAATCCTTAGTTATTAGCAGGTAACACTGACTCCCCTCCAAGCCCAGCAGGCTGGAGGCCAAGGCAGCCATCAGGAGGAAGCTGCCTCCCTCCACACCATAGCCAGCTCCCAAACCTCCCCTGTTTTCCCCAAACTACCCACTGAGCCAGCAAAGTCACGTCCAAGGGGGGTTGGCCCTTCGCTGCTCCTGGTCCTGCTGCTCCCACACCACCCTGGTGCTGGGGTGTCACCGGGCCAAGGGGCCAGTGGTGCTTTGGCCGTGCCCCGAGCGGAGCCGCTGCCTCCTCGCGCCCCGCTCCATTTCCAGACCCCGCTGCCTCCGTTCCTGCCTGACCCCGTTCCAGGGACATCCTCTCCTCTCCTCTGCACCGCTGGGACCTGCACAACAGATATTAGCTGTGCTTCCTGGGGGCCGTGGCACGGGGGAGCCCAGGGAGGGCTCGCAAAGGCACCTTCGCCTAACGAGGACGTCTCTGCAGGCACGGGGGGAGGACGGGCACCTCGCAGGGGCTCGGAGCCACTGGTACCTGCCACGGCCTCCACCCGGGCCAGCCACTGCCTCCCACCCCGCCAAAAGCAGCAAAACGCATAGGGAAAGGGTTCCTTCACCCATGTGCCATCCCCGGACCATCCAAAACCACTCGGGATGAGCCAAGTCTGTCCAGGAAGTGGTTGGTCACACGTGGCTCAGGGACATCGGCCTGTGGCAGCACTTTGGGAACAGCCCCTCTGCCAGCATCCCCACAGCCTGGGAGGAGCAGCCACTCCCAAAGAGGCCATGGATGGGGCACATCTAGGTGCTCTCCAGCTGGCTCTGCAGGGAAATGATTGAGCACCACTGACACCACCCGAAGCAGCACCAAACCTCCACCAGAGCACCTGCAGCAACTGGGACTTCCCACTGACCCCAGTGTGGGATTGAATTGGCACTGAATTCCAAGTTATCCAACAATTCTCGTACCAGCTCCTTGCCTAGACTACAGCAGCCTTCTCAGCAGCAGGATGGTCTTCAGCAAAGCCAGTGAGCACCCAGGCAGGTACAGGCTCCCAGCTGGCAGGAGCTGCTCTCCCGGTGGGGATGTCCCAGCTGCGGGGCAGGGTCAGGCCCCGTCACACCCATCCATAGTGTCTCCCGCTGTGGGATCCATCTCCCGTCCTGACTATCAGCCTGTGACAAGATTCCTCAGCCTCTGGTCCCAGGATTCAGGTTTCGCAGGCAAATTTGCGAAGAGCAAACAAAGCAGCACCAGAACTCTCTCCTCTGACAGCTCCTGGGGATCCACCACTCTTCCTTCCTGCTGCTGTCCTCCGTGCCCTCTGCACTGCTCCTCTGGAGCTGACAGCAGGATTTTCCCTGCCCTCATCCACACTGTGCTGTGCTGTCTCTGTCCATCGGCCCTGGTGACAGGACCTTGGCCACCTTTCAGCGCTTCGGCCTCCCAGGATTTCTGCTGCTGAGCGGGATGGTTTCGTTAGGACCTCAGCTCCTCCAGCCTCCAGCTGCTCCCGCCTTCACCGCCGGCACCGGGGATTTATGATTACTTCATTGTTTGATTGGTTTCATCAGCCTGTCATCATCTCCCTCCCAAAACTCTTCCACCAGCGCCAGCAGCACCGCACGGTTGGGATCTGCAAAGACAAACGCCCCGAACGGCACCTGCCCATTGCCTGCCCGCCGGGTCCCCAGGGCAGGGCCAGCTGGCCCTCAGCCCTGCTCGCTCCCGGGGGCAGTGGGGGCACATCACCCCACCACAACAACCAGCACCGACAGCACTCCAAGAGGCTGCCCAGCATTCACGTGCCCCGTGGCATCCCCCGTGCCTCAGCCCCGGCTCCCACCGCTGGGAACGCTCCCGTGAAGGGGGATGCTCCCACCACCACCGTGCCTCATCTCCTGCCACAGCACCCCGGGCAGGGCACACCCCGCTCAGGGACACTCTGAGCGCCAGGCGGGTCGGGGGCTCGGTGTGTGGGTGCCCAGCCCTGAGCTTCACCTCCCCGTGGGTGACACTCCATACCGCTCTGGCACAGAGGGGTGCTGAGGCTGGGCCACCCTGCCCCTGTCCCTGCTCCTGCTCCCTGAGCCGTGGTGGGGCTCCTGTCGCCTGCCCGCGGCCACAGCGGCAGCGGGGCCGGACCTGCGGGAAAGTGGGTCACGCTCCCCCTTCCCGCCGCAGCCGGGGAGAGGATGGGGTGGGATGGAGGCCGGGCCCGCGCCCGCACCGGCGCTGAGAGGACGTGGGGGCACACGGGGGGATCACAGCGGGGACAGGGCAGGTGATGAGGGGACACAAGGGCACATGAGGGGACACAATGAAGGGACGCGAGGGGACACAAGAGGAGATGACATGGGGGGATGGCAAAGGGACAAGAGAGGACACAGTGAGGAGACAGTGAGGGGACAGGAGGGGAAATGATGAGGGGGCTTGAGGGGAGATGACAAGAGGACGTGAGGGGGGACATGAGGGGAAAGGTAAGAGGGAAAACAGGAAGCTGATGAGGGAACACAAGGGGAGATGAGGGAACATGAGGGAAAACAAGGGGAGATGACAGGGGGAGGTGATGAGGGGACTCAAGGGGACACAATGAGGGGACGCGATGGGAGGTGATGAGGGGACACGAGGGGACATGGCCTGAGCTGCCCCCGAGGCCGCCTCTCCCCGCTCTCCCCTTCCCCTGCTTCCAGCTGCCTTCCACCTCAGCTCATCCTTCCAGACGCCCCAAAATTCATCGGGAGCCCCCGGGGACCAGCCCCCCGGTGCCCCGGCCCCGGCCCCGGCTCCGCTCCGGTGTCACTCACGCCCCGCCGTCCCCGTCCCTCTTCCTCGTCCCCCCCGCGCCGTGCCGGGGCCGCCCGGAGCGCAGGTGCCATCGGCCGCAGGAGGGACCCGATGCGGGGCGGGGGGGGGGAGCGGCCGATCCCCGGGGGCACCGCGCGGTGCCTCCCCCCGCTCCATTCATCCCGGAGCCCCGGTTGTACCGGCAGGAGGGCTTTGCCCCCTCCCAGAGCCGTGCGGGCAAACAAAGGGCGGCCTCGGTACCGGGCGGGCAGCGCCTCCCGCACCCCCACAGCCGCACCCCCATCGCCCCACCTCAGCCCCGCGCCCCCAGCCCCGCAGCAGCGCCTTACCGGAGGGACGAGCCGCCGCCGCCGCCGCGCCCCGTCCCCGGAGGGAGAGGAGCCGCCGCTGCCGCCCGCCGCTCGCCCCGCCGGGCTCCTCATGCCGCGGCCCCGCCGCCGCCGCCGCCGCCGGAGGAGCGGAGCGGAGCGGAGCGGAGCCCAGCCGAGCCGAGCCGAGCCGAGCCCCCCGCAGCCCCCGGCAGCGCCCACCCCGCGCCGCGCTCCGCCCGCACCGGCACCGGCGCCGCCCTGGGGAGGGAGCGCCGAGCGGGAGGAGCGGGGGGGGGGCTCCGCCGCCGGCCCCGCGGGGATGGGGAGATGCGCGATGAGGGATGCGGGGCGCTGCTTGTCCCCGCCCTCCATGTAGCTGAAGGGATTAAGAGCGGGAGTAGCCCTGGAGAGGGGGGGATCAGGCATGAGCCGCTCCCTCCCCACTGGGTGCGGAGCCCCGGTGCCGCGGGTTCGGCACGAAGCAGACCGTGGGGCTGGGGACAATAAAGATGAGATCGATGCCCCACGGACCTCTAAGGGGTCGGCTTCACACCCCTTACCCACCCAAGGACCCCGATAGTCCAAGACTGGAGCATACTGGGGTCAGCAGCACTGGCACCATGCAGCAGGGATGCCCAGGTGCAGGACTAATCCTGCTGCCCACTGGTCCCCTGGGCACTGCTACCCTGAGCCCTCCAAGGCTCTGGTCCCTCTCCCTTGGCACAGGTGATGTCCACCTTGGTGTGGGTGAGCCCACCATGAATCAGAGAGTCACAGAATAGTTTGGATGGAAAGGGACCTGCCATGGACAAGGACACCTTCCACTAGACCAGGTTGCTCCAAGGCCCATCCAACCTGTCCTTGAACACTTCCAGGGGTGGGGCAGCCGCAGCTTCTGTGGGCAATCTGTTCCACTGCGGCACAGGTGATGCCCCACCATGGCACAGGCTGCTTCCCAAGTGCTGCTCCTCAATACATGTAGGACATGAGGCTTCCCACGGATGGCAGGACCCTTTGGGCTGAGCTAGGGAACACCACCTGAGGCAAAGGCATCACAGGGGCTTTCCTTCAGCCTCCTTAAATTCGGCAACACGCTCAGCAAGCGATGCCAGAGGTGGGCACCAGGAGCTTCCAGGTACCTCCAGGCCATGGGACAGCGACAGCTTTTCTGGAGGAAGGTGAGGGGTAGGCACTGTGCTCCTCCTTGGAGCGTCCCTGGGCACATCTCCTCTTCCTGCATTTCCTTCTGTCCCCACAGATGCCAAGCAGGGACATTTAACACAGACCACAATTTGCTTGACTCTCAGCTGGGTACCGGGTCCCTTTGCTCCCCTGATGCCACTTTTACCTGACCCACAGCCATGGGGCTTCCTCATGCTCTGAGGGGGGCAGTGGGCTGTTCCCACACACCAGCTGTGCCCGCTCTGCTGGCATTGGGGCTGTCCCATCGCCCCCTGAGCCACCCAACCCCTGGACAGGGCCGGGGAGCCATCGGCACTGACTCACTGCTGGCTCTGATCTGCTCCTGTTGAGGATGCAGAGCAATGAGTCTTTTCATGAATGACTTTAAAGCAAGAGGGTGAATCACACTCCAGCACTGTGCTTTGATTTGTGTCGGGATCGGCTGTGCCGCTGTCCCCCCCTTCCCGCTCGGCAGCTGCCTGGGGCATTGCTGGCCCCAGGGTCTGAGCCCTGGGAAAGGCAGCTGTGGCAGTGCCAGTCCCCTCAACCTCCCTCCACTCACCAGTTCCTGCTCTAGCACCCGTGGCCCGAATGCTCCAAGCGTGGGAGATCCCCACTGGGATGTGGGCATCTGTGTGGCATGAGAGGGGAAATGCCAGAGCCCAGTGCCCCAGCAAGCCAGGGTGGGCTGGATGGGGGCTGACGGTGCCCAGAGCAGCTGCTGTGGGGCTGGGAAAGGGGTGGCACAGGGCAGGAGAGCGTCACGGGGGGAAGGTGCTGGGAAAAGGGAAAGTTCTGGGAGATGGGGGCAGAGCTACGGTGCTCCCTGTGCCACTGGGCCAGCAGGACACAGGCCGGTGAAAGCCACACCTACCTTCCTTGCACACTCCACTCCACGGGCTGCTAGGGATGGAGTGGGGCCAGCCTCGCCCCTTCCCACGTCCCATGTCACCCTGTGTCCCCTGCCTGTCCTTGCCATGCCATTCCAGCTCCCGCAGCCTCCCGCTCGCAGCATTCCAGGCTGCTCCTCCGAGCTCTCCTTTGGCTCCCGCCCTATTTATAGCTCAGGGCTGTTTCTAGGTCAGGTGGGAGGTGCCAGTGCCCAGGGAGCCAGCCCAGGGACCACGGCGGGCTGCGGGGATGCTGTCACAGGTCCTACACATGGACCCGGTGTCACCACCCCAGTGCTGAGGATGGGGCAGAACCCCCCCACTCTGTGGGATTCTGTGGGGATCTCTGGGGCTCCATAGGGCTTAAGGGGCCTCCGTGGGGCTCAGCAGGACTCCAGAGGACACCCTGTGGCTCCGTGGGACTCCGTGGGACTCCGTGTCAGCTCCCTTTGTGGCTTCCAGGCTGCAGCCCGGGTCGGTGCCAGCATGTGGGTCACACACACACTGAGTAATAGTAACACCAGTAGTACCAGGGAGCGTTTGCATCGAGCTTGTGGCCTTCAAAGCACTCCCAGAATATTAATAACTAATTAAGATTAACGAGATGAAAGGAACCAGATCAAATATGTTTATCACCTCATACAATCCCAAACCGCGCGAAGATCCCCCCAGCTCCCCGAGGGACGAGTGTCCCTGGGATTTCTGCTCAGAAAGGGAATATCCAGCTCGTGCCATGGGATGTGCTTGGATAGGGTGGGTGGCGGGAAATGACCTGGAAAGCCCAAAATTTTTTCAGCGAGCCAAATGCCCTCGGAATTCAGCGAGAAGGTCGGCTGTCCCTTCGGCGTCGCTTGGTCAGAGCAGGAGCCAAGGGGCTGAGCCCCCCACGGTCGGGGTTCCGCTGCCACCCGCAGCCTGTCACGCACCGGTGACACGAGCTAAAACCTGCCGGGTTTGCTGCGGGGATGCTGGGAAGGAGGAACGGCAGGGAGGGAGGGAAGCAGGGAGGCGGCCGCGGGAGCGGAGCACGCCGGGAGCCGCAGCTCGGCAAGGGGGACCCGCTGGTCCCGGGGGGCTCCGGCGTGTCCCGGCTGGGGGCCGAACAACCCCACCCCGCCAGCACGGGGTGCAACACCCATGTCGGGGGCGCTGGGTGCCCACTCCGTCCCTGGGGACAGCGCCCATCCACAGGGAATTCCAGGGTAAAGAGGAGTGATGGGAGTGATGTTCCCGGACTCTGGCCGGGGGGGCTCAGTACCCCCATCTCGGTGTTCCCCCCACGCGTGTTTTGCCATCCCACGTAGTGGCAGCCGGGATGAGATTCCCAGCGGCTGCTCCCAAGGTCAGGGAGGGGACACGACCCAGGAGCTGGGGGGCAGCGCAGCTGCGTGGTGGGCACACGCCAAGCCCCCGCCCGTGGCCCTTGGGGGGGGATGTCGCTCTCGTCAGAGCCCCAGGGCCTGTCCGCGCTCCCGGGGGACATGAGATGGACCCCAACAGCCGGGAGGGGGGCACAGCATCCTGCGGGCTGGTCCCCCAGCACAGGCTGGGTCAGGACCTGCAGCACCGGCCGCACTTGCAGGGAGCTCGGGAATGGTGTTGATTCTGGAGCCCAGCGATGGCTGTGCAGCAGGAAGGCAACAGAAGGGGGTTCTTTGGGATAGGTTTCCCGGGAAAAGAGGCAGGACGTGTTTCTTCGGGGAAAGGGAGGGACTGAACCCGGGGGGCACGGGGAGAGCCACGGGGTCTGCCCTGGCACCCCGACACCTCGGCACCCCGGTACCCAGCACCATCCGGCACCGCACGGCGCCGGCCGCCTCCGCTCGCAGACTGTTCTCCTGGCACCATCTAGAGGCTGCGGGGACAGGCATGGGAGGACAGGCACGGGGGGACAGATACGGGGGTGGGACAGGCACGGGAGGACAGGCACGGGGGGACAGATACGGGGGTGGGACAGGCACGGGAGGACAGACATGGGTGGGGAACAGGGACGGGGGGAACACATGCTGCCACAGCACCCGTGCGTGGGGCGCACTTACTGTCCCTGGCGCAGGTGGCAGGACCGGGGAGCACCCTCTGAGAGCACCCCTTGGTCACTCGAGGGGTGACATGCAATGACAGCCGTGTCGCCACGGGATGCAGACAGAATCAGGGACAGACTGGTGACAACCAGGGGGGTGTTCAGACACAGCGACCCCCCCAGAGTAGCCCCACCTTGGAGCAGGACAGGACAGGCACAAGCCAAGGGTGTTCCTCCTTCTCTATCCCCTTGTGCAAGGAAAGGATGGTCCCTGTGGCCACCATTCAGGACTCTGGGCCACCACACTGCCACCCTGGCTGCTCCCTCTGTGGCTGAGAACGACAAACTCGTGACACCTGTGACCCAGCACAGTTTGGATGCTGCCGGTCAGCTCCAGCCCCAGGCTGGGCTATGGGATGGGAGCCCTGGGAATTCTGTGCATCCCTCAGCCAGCAGCACCCACACCTCCCCCCCACCAACACTCCCCCCCACCTGGGCAGTGACTCACGGGAACCAAGGCTTAAAACCCCAGGATTTACACCAAAACGAATCCTACAACTCCCTGCACACCGTGAGGAAGGACTGGATTGTCCCACACCCACAGCCCAAAGGCCCTGAGCCCTCCCCAGCCCCTCACCGTGGGCAGCCAGTGCCTGGGAGGCTCCTGGCTGGAGCAGGTGGGAGCTCTGCTCTGGGCATGAAGGCGTGGGACAGGAGGCGGCAGTGGCTCAGTGCCACGGAGGAGCAGTTGGGCACAACATGTGCCAGCGTTCACACCTCGCATCCTCGCCGGCTGCCCGGCTAATTTCAGCACCGGCACATTCTCCTTGGCTGCCGCTCAGCAGCGCCGATGGGAGAGGAGGTTTTGGGGAAGGGGGAGGCGAATGCTGGTGCTGCTGCCGAGAGGGACGGGCCGTGGGGAGCCTCGTGGCTGTCCTTGGGGACCCTCGAACTGCTCTGGGCCCCTGGCC